CGTTTTGCTATATCGTAAACTAAGTCGAAACAACTTAGTAGAAGTCTGAAATGCGACTATGAATAGAGGTAAATTTTAAGTTGGTACTTAAATTTAAGTTGCAACTTTGTTAGTTTGGACTTAGTTGTTGGACTATGAATACGCGCCTATATTTCTTGGCCGCATTTGATTAAAAAGGCAAATTGAATCCCATAATTTTGATTATTTGGAACAGCCGACGAACGACGCGCGCGAAAAGTTGAGAGTTGGCCATCTTTCTGCGTTGTGTTAGCGTTGGCGTTGCCCAACTTTGGTTATGTGGAGACTTTCATATTAGTGCATGTATTCTAGAGTGGCCTTAATGCACTGATTTCCGAAAACCAATGGTTTTCGCACGGAAATACATGAGGTTGGGCTTAGAAATAAATATGTAACTATTTTCAAAGCCTTCAGATGACTCTTAGGGGTTCCGGGTTGGACCGAAAGTGACGAAATTGGAGCCAGTTTTTATGAATTTTCATATTTTATAATTTTAAGATGGCGAAATTTTATTGTTTGCCTTTTTATCGAAAATTTCATGGAATAACTTTTCCAAAGTGTCAATTAAGTTTCAAGTCGGTTAAAATAACACAGCACCGTCAAATTGCAAAGATCTTAGAAGTACGGAAAACACACATCATTAATTTCACGCAGCGGCAATCCTATAATCCGATGTGAAGGTTGAAACACATTAGAAACGACGGGCTACGGACCACAGCTGTCAAATTATTTTAACACGTACTCTTATGTAGATAATTATTTTGGCGACGACACGGCAACACTGCGACTTTCCAAAAATGTAGCTGTGGCCAGATTGGACCTATTTCTATTTTTCTAGCAAAGGCCTTAGAAGTACGGAAAACACACATCACTAACAGCCTAATCATGTATCTCGAAGCGAACGTTCGTTTCGTCTGCCAGACGTTTCGTTCGTGTGTTGGTAGTATGTAGTCGAAATCGTCTGGCAGGACGAAAACAGCTGATCGTTACGTAGTTTTCGTCTAGTTTGGAATTTTTTTAGGCGAATAGAAGACGATAGTTAGACGACAATCGTTGAAAACAGACGAAAGGTTATTAGTGATCGTTAAGATGGAGGGTGCTGCCAGGAAAAGTAAGAAAATAAAAAAATATAACTTGGTTTAAGGAAATATATGAAGGAAATATATATAGTGCTGAAAAAAACTACAACCACTCAATTTGAAGTACTGGTAAAAGAAATGGAGAGAAATCCTGACCTGGCCAGAGGTGTTGCAGTGTTTGGATCTGATCGAGGAAGGGTAGAGGAGCGGTGGGAGGAAATTATGAGGAAAATTAATTCTCATGGTCCACCTACAAGAACGGCCGTCGAATGGAAGAAAGTAAGCATAAGTGCATAAATTGTATATGGTAGATAAATGCTTGCGCACTATTTCCATTTTACTGACATTGAATTTTATTTTTTTTCAAGATATGGGCTGACTTGAAACACACGAAGCCTTACTGCTACCGGTGGTGGCCCATTCCGTCACTCTCCGCTTTCCGAAATGGAGCAGACCATAGACAGCTTGGTTTTTATTTCAAGGTCAGCAGCCCCGAGCGGCAGAGTTTTCGGCATTCCTTCGACGGCGACCTCTAACATGTCAAGACATTCGTCGTTGGAGGAAATGCCTCCTTTACTTGTGACTGAATCACCAACACTTGACCAACGAAGGCAACAAACAACCACCCTTCAATCTCCTATAAGGCACAACCAACCACCACCAGTGGGAGTAGTGACTCCCACTACACAGACAACCCGTCCTACACCAACGCACACGTTACGTTCCACTAATAGGAAGCGCACCTTCCAAGAGACAGTGGCTGAATCTGCCAAAGTCCAAGCAGAAGCCGCTAAAGTGCAGGCTGAGACTGCAAAAAAAATGGCAGAGCCATCAATGCTGCAGGTGGATGCCACAAACAAATTAACTGCTGCAGTGGAACGCCAATCTGCAATTTTTTAAAAATTTTTGGAGTACTTCCGGATTTAATTTTCATACCACTATTGTGAGAGTATTGAAGTGATATCTTGTTTTTTTTTTGTGTAAATATTTTTTAGATTTAAGTGTGAATTGATATTTTGTTGCATTTACTTAGTTTATATGTAGATTTAGGATTTAAGACTGAAAAGATATTTTGTTGAATTTTTATGTAAATATTTTATTAATTTTAAGGCAATGGAATTTTGCTGGTGTACCTGAAATCTAGACACACATACTTTATAATAAAACTGCGTTTATAACAAACTCTCTGCTATTCTCATTCTAATAAGGGCAGCTGTATTCGAAATGTTACTGTTTTCAAATTCTTCTTCGTAACTAACAAGATTCTCCATATCTGGGCTCTCCAATGGAATTTGATGTTTGAAAAATATGCAAACGTTATGAATAGCACAGCACACATTTACAATTTGTGTAACTTTTTCTGGTGAATAGTGTAGCCCTCTCGAGCCAATTATACATCGAAATCGGTTTTTCACCGAAACATCTCTCAATTACATTACGAGCTTTCGAGTGCTTTGTGTTGTAAATTCGTTGCATTTCATCGGCTGCGCTTCTGAATGGCGTCATCAAGTATGGCTGCAAGGGGTAACAAGAATCACCTACACAAATTTTCATTGTCAGTAATAGTTTTATAGCCTTTTTAAGTTTTAAAACTTACCGAGTAGCCATGTGTTGGTTTTTCCATTGTTAGAATCAGATTTTAGCTCCTGTTCTGCGTGACTCACATTCCAAACAAATGAATCATGATTCGCCCCTGGATGCCTAGCGTTAACAAATGTGATTACCATGTTGTGATCCCATATCTGTAAGGAAACTTAGTTTGTGTATATGTATACTTGTAAAGATACTAAATCATTAACCTACCGCCATTACATTAAAACTGTAAAAACCCTTGCGGTTGAGGTATAAATGGTGGTTGTTACTTCCGGGCGACTTAATACGAACGTGTGTTCCATCAACACAACCGATAACCCCAGGTATTCCGTATTTCTCAAAGAAATATTCTTTAACTGGAAAGAAATATATTTTAATTTACATGTTTTCAACAATTTTTATGAGCTTGAGGCCGTTTTTAGTGAAAACTTATTGCGGAAAAGCAACAATAATTTGAAAAAATGGTAGAAGTGATAGCTATTTCGGAAATCACCACATTTCCTCATCAGACTGGCTGACTTCCAAAACGTCAATTGCATTGCATACGTACAAAGTTTAATGTTCCATAACGCCGAACTACAATTCGTTGACAATGTATACTTTTCCAAAACCCATCCGAAAAGTTATCGAAACGCGTTGCTAGCGCAATCAGCGCATCAGAAACAAAGTTGATGCTTCGTTTGTTATTGGTTACCATTGGTGTTTTAAAAATGCAAAATTCCGAAATGGTGATTATTGTTTTATTAAATATTCCAAATATGCAATGTATATGGTTGCAATGTTTCGCTACTCTGCATATGCAAAGAGTTTAAATACCGCAGTAGAACAGTATCCAAACATTCTATTGGAACGTTTTGGAAGTCAGCCACTTCTTTCAGTAGGATTCGAACCAACGATCACCACTGACTCAGCCAGTTGCCTACGCACTGTGCTAAGTTTGCCTTGTTAATTCTTGTTGCTTATTTTCCACTATTTCACTTTGCTAAGCCAACTACAATCAAGCGCAGCTATTCCGCTGCAATTCACTTGATCATGTGGTTGTTGGTTTTGTTGGTTTTTGTTAATATTTCTATTATTAGAATGTTTAACTTTTAGGTGTGCTCGTCCTTAAGTTATTTGTTTTTGTTATTTTATGGCCTTATAACAATTATATTTTTTCTTAAAAATTAATGCAAATTTACCTATTTTTTCACCGGCAGGCGCGAATATGGTATTCAAAACAGAAACAATGACAACGAATTTTACACACATTGTTGTATTTTAGCGCAAAACTATAAGTTTCACAAATATTTTAAATTATTGCCTGGAACATACACATTTATCGTTATTATTGGAAATGAAAGACTTGGCATGCATTTTTAATTTCTTATTTAGTCAATTCAAATGCATAAAAACACATTTTTGTAAAATAATTCTCAATTTACATTTTAAAGATTTTTCTGAAACTTGAATGTAAATCTGTGCGGAGAATGAGAGAATTGAAAATCAGGTGATCTCAGCTGTTTTCAAATGTAAACAAATAAAATGGCGCTTTCCATACTTGTAAGCCTATACAATGCTTTTGCCTGTAGTTTCTACAACTTGGAGTAAATATTGCTTGTCCTCCTCATCATACGTCAAAGCACGGTTAAAATCTGTCATTAATTTCACCGCTCTTTCCGCAGGATCATTTACAACGGTCAAATTTTGGCAAATGCATTTTCCTGCGCAATAACCTTTTCTATCTGGCCAAGTTGACGGAACAAATTGTAAATTTGTATGATGAATATCGCGGAAAATCTTTTGCATCAAAATTTCTATTCTAATTTGCATTTGAATTATGATTTCAACAGGGATGCTTTGAAACTTATTTTTTGAAGACAAATTTTTTATAAATCTTGAGATTGTTGATTTATTTTAGAATTAAAAAAGCTAGTTTATATTAAACAAGTAAGGAAGTCTAAGTTCGGGTGGAGCCGAACATTAAATACCCGGCGCAAGTATTAAATATATGTTTTTTCACCTTTCCGAAAGCTACCGCTAGATGGTAAGCCGGGGTGTATAAATTTTGAGTAAATTAGCGTCCTTAAACTTCGAAATATTGCAGTTTCAAGCATTTCTAAAATTTACCGTTATATGAAAAGCGGCCGTAATTTTAGTCCGATTTCAATAATTTTCAACGTTTTGCTTTTATGTGTGGAAGCACAATAAAAATAACGAGTTTGGTACAAAATGGTAGAACGGTTACCGATATACATATGGGGCATTTCACCTCAAGTGACCCAACTTTTGAAATCTATGTCTTCCGATCGGGATGAAATTTGCACCAGTCCTAAAAAATAGTAGTTATGACACAAAATTTCAATTGGATCGGTCAAACACACTCCGAGTTGGAGGGTCTAGAATTTTGACATTTTGGTCAAACGGCCATTTTTTCGGATCCATATAACTAATTACCTATTGTATTTAGAAAATTTTTTCAGGAATGTTTTCGATAGATTTCTCTTCAGTCTTTACAAATTTTATTTTTTTTAATTAAAATGAATTTTTTTTAATTTTTTTTTTTTTAA